GCCAGCACAAGAAGCTGATCCGGCATCAACAGCAGCAGAAGAGCTTGTTGAAGCTGAGCCCGTCAAAACTGATTCTGTTGAAGCCGAGCAAGGACAAGAAACTGAGCCTATTGCAGCTGAGCGAGCACAAGAAGCAGAACCTATTGAAGCCGAACCAGCACAAGAAGCTGATCCGGCATCAACAGCAGCAGAAGAGCTTGTTGAAGCTGAGCCCGTCAAAACTGATTCTGTTGAAGCCGAGCCAGGACAAGAAACTGAGCCCATTGCAGCTGAGCGAGCACAAGAAGCTGATCATTTGGAAGCTGAGCCAGCACAAGAAGTCAATTCAGTTGAAACTGATCCGGCACAGGAAGCCGAAGCCGCATCAAAAGCACCAAAAGGAGAGTTTGTTGAAGCTGAGCCGGATAAAGCAGAGTCTGTCGAAACTGAGCAAGCACAAGAAGCTGATTCTGTTGAAGCTAAGCCAGCGCAAGAAGTTGAAGCAGCATCAAAAGCACCAGAAGAAGACCCTGTTGAAGCTGAGCCTGTTGAAGCTGAGCCTGTTGAAGCTGAGCCTGTTAAAGCTGAGCCGGTTGGAGCTGAGCCGGTTGAAGCTGAGCCGGTTGAAGCTGAGCCGGTTGAAGCTGAGCCTGTTGAAGCTGAGCCAGCACAAGAAGCTGAAGCCGGATCAAAAGCACCAGAAGAAGAGCTTGTTGAAGCTGAACAAGCACAACAAGCTAATTCTGTTGAAACCGAGCCAGCACAAGAAGCTGAAGCAGCAACAAAAGCACCGGAAGGAGAGCCTGTCGAAGCCGATTCCGTTCAAGCCGAGTCAGGACACGATGCTGAGCCTATCGAAGCTGAGCCAGCACAAGAAGACAAAGCCGAATCAAAAGCACCAGAAGAAGGGCTTGTTCAGGCTGAGCAAGCACAAGAAGCTGATTCTGCTGAAACTGAGCCAGTACAAGAAGCCGAAGCAGCATCAAAAGCACCAGAAGAAGAGCCGGTTGAAGCCGAGCCGGCTGAAGCTAAGCCAGTTATAGCTAAGCCTAATGGAGCTGATCCCGTACAAGAAGCTGAACCGGAATCAAAAGTACGAGAAGAATATCTTGTTACAGCTGAGCCAGTTGAAGCCGAGCCGGTCGAGAACGAGCCTGATAAAGCTGAGCCTATTGAAGCTGAGTCAGCACAAGAAGCTGAAGCAGCATCAAAAGCACAAGAAGCCGAACCTGTCGAAGCTGAGCCAACGTCGAAAGCGACAGAAGAAGAGCATGTCGACGTTGAGCCGGCACAAGAAGTTGAAGCAGCATCAAAAGCAACAGAATTTGAGCCAGTTGGAACTGAACCTATTGAAGACGAGCAAACACAAGCAGAACCGGCACCAAAATTAACTGAAGCCGAGCCAGAATCAAAAGCATCAGAGGCGGAGCCTGCACAAGAAGCTGAAGCAGAAATAAAAGCATCAGAAGCAGAGCCCGTGCCAGAAGCAGAGCCTGTTGAAGCAGAGACTGTCGAAGTAGAGCCTGTTGAAGCAGAGCTCGTTGAAGCAGGACCAGCACAAGCTGAACCGGTATCGCAAGTATCAGAAGCAGAGATTACATCAAGAGCAAAGCATGTAGAAGCAGTTCCTGTATCAGAAGCAGAATTTGTTGAAGCCAAGCCTGTTAGAGCTGAGTCTGTAGAAGCTGAGCTGTCACAAGAAACAGAGGCGGGGCCTGCATCAGAAGTTCAGACAGCTCAAGAAGCTGAGCCAGCATTACAAGTATCAGAAGCAGTGCTTGCACCGGAAGTGGTTCCAGCAGTTGGGACTGAGCAAGAAATAGAAGCTGAACCTGCTCTAGAAACGAAGCGAGCACTGGAAGCTGAACCAACACAGGAAGCTGAGCCAGTAAGTGAGGCAGCGCCGGTGCAAATTTTATCAGAAGCAGGGCCAGCATCACAAGTGGAGCCAGAATCAGAAGCAGAGACTGTTGAAGCAGAGCCTGTTGAGGCAGAAACTGTAGAAGCAGAGACAGTACAAGCTGAGGATGTGAAAGAAATATCTGAAGCTGATCCTGTATCTGAAGCCGAGCCGGCGCGAGAAGTTAACGAAAGATCGGAAGCAGAGTCGGCACGAGAAATTGATCCAGTATCTGATGCAGACTCAGTACAAGAGACTGGAGCAAAACCGCAATCATCAGAAGCGGAACTAGCACCAGAGGTGGAAGCAGTAGTGGAAGCTGAGCCGGTAGCACAGCCATTAGAAGCAGAGCCCTCGGAAGAAGCTGACACAGCACTACACGTACCAGAAGCGGAACCAGCATCAGTAGCAGAGCCAGTTGAAGCAGAGCCAGGACAAGAAACTGATGCGGTATCAGAAACATCAGAAGCAGAGCCAACACATGAAACAGAGAAGATCTCAGAAATGCATTCAGCAGAAGCATTAGTTGAGCCAGATCTAGTAGAAACGGAATTAGCGCCACAAGCATCAACAGCGGAGCCATCAACAATAGAGCTGGTTCAAAAAACGGAGCCAACAACGGACACAGAGCTAGCGCCACCAGCTCCAGCATCCGTAGCGGAGCCATCAGAAGCAGAGCCAAAACCAGAAGCAGTACTACCACGAGAAACTGAGCCATTGTTGGATATAGGGACAGCTCTGCCAGCATCTGGATTGGAGACAGCGCTAGAATCACATGACACGAAATCCTCTGCTCATGAAGGTGAGCCAGCTGAAGCAGCGGAAGAAGCAATTCAAGAGACCTCGAATGATACTGGCTTGCTAGAATCTTCACCAGTTGTCGAGGAAGAGAGGGATTTGCCTGTTAAGATATCTGATGAAGCAACCGTTCTACAAGATACTCAGCGAGATGGTCCCGTTCCGATTGCTGATGGAGACTCGGAAACTCCTCTTGCTGCACCTACTGAGCTTCCAAAGATTAAATGTTTGAATTGCGGAGATGACATGGAGATTGAACATCTTGCTGAGCATTTCTGTACTCCGGTGAATTCGCCTTCTGTTGAAGTCGATTTGAGCAGTTCATCAGCAGGAGAGGACAAGCATGGTCCTGAACCTAGCGTGGATTCGGTAGCGAGCACCGAGAAAGCTGTATCATCCGTCCCGCTTGCCGACGTGCAAGGAGATACTGGAAATGATGGCAAAAATATGGAATCTGAAAACCTCTCAATTGAACCCGAGGATGTCGCTCTTGGTGATCAGTCAACGGCTGCCAAATCTGTAGCAGGTTGCGACAAGACTGAAATAGAAGCAGGAACCGCTTCATGTGAAGACAAGAGCGGACATTCGGAGGCAAATGATCCAGCCGACGAGGGCAAGGTCACTTCAAACGAGCCTGATATCCTTTCAGCCGAGAAAGGGGCTACCTTTGTCCAATCCCAAACTGCAGAAGCAGATGTCTCTGAGTTGCAGCATGAACAAGACCAAGCACCTGTTAGCGGAGACCTATCAAAGTTGAAGGATTCCGAACCCGCTCCTGATGCCTTCGCCTCTAAAAGAACAGAAGTAGATGAAAACGCAAACCCTGATTCCGGCGATGATCTACAAAAGACAACTGCTCAACCTCTAGATTCCGCCCAAGAGGCTCAACAAACCCCAACAACACCTCAAACTCCATCAAAAAGGAAGTGCGTACGCTGGGAGGACATTGAGAACTCGAAGCTCTCCAGTCCAGCGGAGGAGTTCAATCGGCAGCTGGAAGGACCGTTGCTGAATGGCGCGAGTTCCAACCCAACCGCTGACAAGCACAGCCTGGGATCTCCAACTCCAGACAGCGAAGGAAAGGGGCTGGGAATCACCGATATGCCACAAATAGAAGAGGCTGACATTACAGAATCGACGGATATGAAATCCGAGACCATTGAATCTGAACCGATGATCATTAAGGCAGAAGAGGGACTAGAGACAACTGATCACGAGATAGCATTGAATGGGTCAGAAGCTCCTGAACAAGCGGAATATCACGGTGTCAAAGACAACAGCCAAATTGATGAATCCGATGCGAAGGTTTCGGCCGAACAAAGTGGGAATGATACTGAGCCTACCATGGTGGGAGAAAACAAAGATATGCCGGCACATCACAACGGGGACGCGATCAAGGAGCTTCAACACGATGCAGATACAATGAATGATGAGGCTGTCGCAGAGATCGAAGATGAGGATGCTCAAATGACTGTGGAGAAGGCGGCTCAAGCAGATGCCAAGCAAGAAGCCATCGAAGCTCCTATCACGTCGACCATGCCACAAGACACCGAAGAAGGCAAGGAGGATAAGATTTCCATCGACTCTGAGTTGAAGATTACACCAGAAGTTTCTCATGCTTCAAATGAGGACCTTGATCAAGCCATCAAAGAAGACACGGAAAAAGCATGAAGCCAATCCAGAAACGGCTGATTCAAAAGACGATTCAGCAGACGAGAAACAGAATGATGCGGACACGTAGGGTTTAGGCAGAAAGCAAGCTGCCAAGACTAGCGATTTTCTACCCGACGTCAAAGATGTGCCGACACTGGACAATGGATCTGCGGATTAAGCGATCAATGCGATGTTGAGAATTCTTTCGAATTCTGCATAGGCACGGGAGGAGCATGATTTTGATGATTCGTTTTTGGTTGAAGTGCATAGATTGTTTTCGAGATACCCTTTTCCCGACAAGACTGTTATGATTTATGGATTTGATGATAGAAGTTTAGCGCATATTTTAATCGAGGCAGTCTTCATCATTGATTTTGAGTCCTGGGATACCTTGCAAGACCAGGAGATGTGAGTCCACTGATGAAGTTCGAGTTGATTCCCACCCTCCAGGACCCATCCCCACCAGCGCCGTAGGCGATAGCCGGGTCTAGGCACTGCATCAGCGGCGCCGATGCCGTCCTCCCGCAGCTCGCTAGCCATTTGTAGTATTGGTGTGGTCGTTGCAATCGAAATGCGCTTTGCTTTTTTCGCTTGCGGAGGCCGAGCTAGCTCGCCATGGTTGCATACAAAAAGTCTTCAGAGTTCCACCACACCTCTCGCCTTCTTTCCTCTCCAATTGACCTCGTGTCTTAACATATAAACCATAGTGAGCGACTTCGGGAGCTTTGCGCTTACGTTGGTTCATAAAGCTCCAATTCATTTCCTCTCTTATCTGCTGCCAGCGGACGAGAAGATCGTCAAAAAGTGGCAGTTCGCGCCCCACCGCACAACGAGGAATTTGCCCCGAGAGCTTTGCGCCCAAGCAAAAATCGTCTCCCACACCATGTCCGCGCATTCAGAGGCTGTCAAAGCAAATGATGTTGAGCCTGCGACTGTGCAGACAACCTACATTCGCGGTAAAAGCGACGGGGATCATGCTGTACCCGCAGACGACAACAGGGACGTTTCGCACGACCTGCCCGCGTACACGGACGGTGTAGAGGCTGAGCACCAAGGGGTCAAGAGAAGGGAGTGGTTCAGCTACTTTAAGACGAAGCAATTTTGGATCGTCCTTGTTGCCGGGTAAGTACCTGACTACTGGGATTCCTTGACCAATTCGCTTACGCCTCCCGCACAGGCAAGCCATCTCTTTGATGTTGACTGGCACGAATACGTTCTCTTCCCTACTCTCTGGCGCCGGCGCCAATATACCTGCCTTCCAGAGTTTGTTCAATTACGTCTTGATGGCCATCGTATGGACAGCAGTCTGCTGGCATAAATACGGAGTAAAAGGCTGGCTTAATATGATCTACAAGCGTGGTTGGAAATGTACGTTTTCCTTGGATGCCCTCTTCCAATGGATTTTTCTGACGAAATATAGACTTAATCCTTTCTTTCTGCGATGTTGAGGGCAACTATTTCACGATCCTTGGTTATCGCTATACTACGATTCTCAGGTATACTCGGTTTCACTGCACTTTTTCGTCACTAGGCTAATAAAATATTTTACAGTATGCAACTTATCAACTTCTGGGCTATCGTCGTGGTCGTGATTTTGTCCTTCCTTTTCTTGAAGGTCAGATACAATCTGTTTCAAATTCTTGGTATCTTAGTCTGCGTCGGTGGAATGGGAGTTCTCTTCGGTTCAGACCACATCACGCACGCAAACGACTTCCCAGCTGAGAACCAGGTCAAGGGCGACTTGTTTGCCCTACTTGGCGCCACTTTCTACGGTTTCTCCAACACTCTCCAGGAATTTTTGGTGTCGGAGGCTCCCATGTACGAGGTTCTCAGCATGATGGGCATCTGGGGAGTATGCATCAATGGCGTGCAAGCTTCCATTTTCGATCGCGGATCGTTCGCAGCTATGTTGAAGATCTACGAACCCAAGATTGGGGGCTGGATCGCTGGCTTCGATCTGCTCCTCTTCTTGTTTTACTCGCTCTGTCCGATCATCTTCCGAATGGGCTCGGCTGCGTTTCTAAACATCTCGCTCCTCACCAGCAACTTTTGGGGCACTATTGTTGGTGTCCAGGTCTTCCATCTCCACATCCATTGGATGTATCCCATCGCATTTGTACTCATCATTGTAGGACTCGTCGTTTATTTCATAATGGACGGTAAGTGGGGTGATTCTCTCAAGCCTTGGCTTGGTGAACGCCAAGAGCGTGGTATCTCTGGCGTTGGCACTGCAAAGAGAAGGATTGAAAACCCAGATCTGGTAATCTAATTGCCTGGGACCTTCCATTCATCAAGATCTCAAGCGAATGTCAAATTTCACGCGCTTGGACCTATCTCCTCGAATATCCATGCTGCTGCATCTTTTGATGAGTATATGTCTATTCCGTCATCGTTTTCGTTCTGGCTGCCATTTTCAACTTCTGGACTTGGCCAATCGTTTACTGCGCTGTTGTTGTTAAGACAAGTCACTGTTCAACTTTCCGCTTGCCGGGTAACCTCGACAGGCAGAAAGAGCTACGATCCTGGATCTCGGAACTGCACAAGGGTCCTTTACGACCATGAAAACCAGTTAGATCTATTATATATATCTTAAATGCGCTCAATGCCTATTTTCATTGTCTATTGAAGTTTCGAGTATCAGAATCGATTCCGACCTTGAGTTCACACGCGACACATGAAGCCTTCAAAGCCAAAACGGGGCCACATTACTGGTCATTCATCACTGACTATATGCACTAACAAAAAGCATTTACAAACTGCGAGATCCTTGACTCATTCAGGAGAGGCGGAAAAGCATTCGCTGCTCGAGCTAATTCAAAGATCTCATGCTGATAGGCAAGTAGAGTACATTACTTTCAACACCTTCGTTTGGGAAACGCTTGTAACGAAGTTAGATCTCGCCGTTCTACATTTCCTTTTCTTCAGCTGCCGCTTGAATTGCGATTGATAGTATATGAGTATTCATTGCGCGCCTCCAGCCATATACGACCAAAACGCGCCCTACCACAACTTCGACGAAGCTCCAGGAAGTCGCTCGGCGAAGGGAAAATCGTCTGCCTTCGCTTAGATGGAGTCGTCGGCCGACTTCATCCGCATTCCGGAAGGCCCAACGTCAATATCCTCGCAACGTGCTCTCAAATCCGGGCCGAAGGCAGTGGTGTGCTCTATAGACAGAACTCATTCGAAGTCGTCGCACGAACTCAGCGCCACAGCGGACAGCCCATCATCGGCCTGCCTGGGTTCCTTCGCCTCGACATGGTTCGACACTTGGTTCTCGTCACCCACTGCGAGGTCTCCCGATTTCAGAGCTGCTTCGCTTACGAGAGCTTCTCATATCTTCGCGCGCTTCGCAAGCTTTCCGTGTCGATGAAGTCATTTGTCGTGAGCGATCGCCCAGACTTTCATACCTGTTTGGAGGCTCTCAATCTCATCCTATGGGTTCCCAGGCATGTTGAGGTCGAGTTTGGCATCGAGAGTCAGCTAAGCCACCACGATCACCCCGCGTGGGTTCCTGCGCATGTTCTTTCGTTTTATTTTCTTCAGTTTGATCATCTACGTGGCGCTGGCTCCGGAAAGTGGACCTTGGATGTATCCGTAGCGTATGAAGAAGGCTTACAAGTTGCAAAAGGTTTCTTTAACATATGATTACTTTTAAGGAATATCTAAGGCTTCATCACGCCGACAATAAGTATGACGCGTCCAGTCAGGCTTTATCGACTAGACATCTACCAAAAAAAAGGATTCGAATGTCGTGCCTCACGCGACAAGGATATGGTAATAGGAGCTGCCCGAACTTCTTATGAGAAAAGGAATAAACCCTCAGGGGGGAAAAATTCCATGTATGTCTATCAATAACAATCCCGCCATCTCTCGTCGTAGCCTTTAATTTGCCCTGCATAAGATCCCACACCAGCTTGAGTCTTTAATTTAATAGCGTTGTCTGGTGAGTGCTCATACATTGCAAAGTTGAGCACGTCGTGCTTCGGGTTCCAGCTCTTAGCTACGTTAATGTTACCCTGCTGATCGCGTACAATACTGCGGCTGAAGATTGGATTTGGATGTTTATCCAGCATGCTAATGAAATCAAGCTCAACAATATGATTCTCAACTCCAGCAAATAAAGTAGCTGAAACGGAGGATGGTGTTGATAATGAATAGACTGGAGACTCCGTTGCCCGAGCGGACGCTCGACTCCACCGTTGCTGTATCTCGTTGCGGGGATTCAAAAAGACATTCCACCCAGTGTCTTGAGAGCCGGATAACGCCGATTCTACCTTCCGTTTACGCCAATTTGATGAGTCAGCATAATGATACATCCGACCTCCTGGTACTCTGATATCAAAAAACTTTAACATCGAGTGCCTTGCACCCCCGGCCACAAAGCGCTCACGCCCTATATTCAGGATAGAGTACATGGCACCATCATCTGTGCTGTCGTAGAAATATGACTCGAAAGGTCTAGGAGATCGTAGATCATGAAGTCTTGCGATGCCATCGTAGCCACCTGAGAGAAAAAGCTCTCCATTGCCGTGCTTCTCGCCTATGCTTGTCGGTAGAGGTTTGATAGAATATATAGACGTTTCCAAGTCGATTTCTTGAACTGCAAGCTTGCGGTATGGCTCTTGAAGCAATCCAGTAGGTCTCACCCTAAAAAGTTGGATGGGCATTTGTGCAGGGCCGGTACCAAGAGCCAGCAAATCGTCTGAGAGGAACTGAGTAGACCAGATTCGAAAGCTTCGCAGGCCTTCTGTTGAGAGATTGAGTTCAGACAAAGGCGAAATAACTTGAGGCCTCTCCGGAACGTTGTATAAAAAGCGTGGAATGTTGTAGAGAGAGACATGAGTATCACCTAAAGAAGCAGCTAGGAACATCTCATCGGACGCCTCGATATCCGCAGACCGTACAGGAAGGCCACCAGTTTCGAAGATAGCGCCGATGGTTTTTGTTGAATCTCGATCAAGTTCCAGATGCGATAAATAAATGTGGCCACTCGCAGTCCCGAAGATGACATGTTCGACGTCTGTTGTGCTTGAGCTCTCCTTTCGATACTGGTGTTTCAGCACCTTCAGACTCGTAATGTCATCCCTACCCTCCAAGGCTTTTGGTGGGCGATACGTAAACCATCTAGTATGGTGATTGAAATGGTCTGAATAAGAATAAGAGCCGCGGCTGTCCGGTTTATGTTTCGGTCCTATGCTTTTCACACGTAAAACAAGTTCGGCGCCCGCACTCCACGCAAGGATCTGACGCCTTGCGTCCCATGACGACCCTGTAGCTTCCTCGTAGCTATCGATGACGGGTTGATATCCCATGGTTTGGCCCCGAGGTCTACGCCACTGGGTTTCAAGTTCACGCTGCGGGAGCTTGACAATGAAATTTGCTGGCTCAACATATCGAGCTAAGAACGCGTGGCGATCAAGGTCACGGGAGTATGTGGTCAAAGAATGGGCGGCCGCCTTCCAGTTCTGTTTGATATTGAAGGACGGGAAACGGGTCTGGACAAAGACCTTCCAACCCTCTTCCTCACAGTAGCGATGCAGAACATGGTTGCACCTGGATAAGTACGCTACGGATTGTGCGGTCGGTAGGTATGTGACAATCTGATTCAGTAGCTCGACCGGAAGATTATGAAGCATTCCTTCCGGGTATAAAAAGCTGCAAATCAGCCCTAGTAACACCTAAGCAATCTTGAGTAAAGGTTAGGAAGGCTTCAAGTCCAAATTATTAGGTGATGGCGTTTGTGACGTCGCCACAGCTACGAATACTGTGAACAAGTGAACTAGGAACTTCGTTGCCTGAGGCTTCGACGGCATCCACGACGGGACGTTATCGCCGAATGCGGCAACCATACGATGGCGTGGGCGGAGTCACAGTCGACGGCCATATTTCACTCTGATTAGGCTTGGTCAGACGGCCGCTACGACATCTCTAGAACAAAATGACAATGGCTTTCTCCACTTTGGCTCTAATCTTGTTCGTGCTGGCAAGTTGTCGGTTCCTGTGGACAACAGTGCTCTACCCTGTCTTCTTCTCCCCTCTCTCTAGGATTCCAGCAGCACATCCACTTGCGAGAGTTACGTCTTTGTGGATCACGTACATACGGTGGTCACGTCGTGAAATCAGAACAATTCACGCGGCACACGGCCGACTTGGGCCGATCATCTTGCTTGGGCCACGCGAAATAAGTGTAAATTGCGTCAAAGGGGGCATACAAACTGTATACTCTGGCGGATTTGAGAAAGGCGATTGGTATGATATTTTTGCTAACTTTGATAATGTACGCAACATGTTCAGCATGCCGGCGTCCAAGGCACATGCAGCGAGGAAACGAATGTTATCGAATATTTATTCAAAGTCCTTCCTTCAGGCCTCTCCAACCCTGAAGGCTGCCACAATCTCCATTCTTCACGATCGCTTCCTTCCACGAATGACAGAGCTCGCTAACCAGGGGGTTCCTTTCGATGTGTACAGCGAGCTCAGCGCAGTTACAATGGATTTCGTTACAGGCTACCAGTTTGGCCTCGTCAGTAGCTCGAATCTTATCCAAAACCTGGAATTCCGCAAGGCTTTTCTCGGTTGGTACACAAGCCGCATAGGATTCAACTTCTGGCCTCAGGAACTTCCAAGGTTGACCGCGTTTCTGGAAAGATTGGGTTTCAAGATGGTGCCAGACCATGTTGCCCCGGCAAATGTGAATATCGAGCAGTGGTGTCTCTCAATGTGTGATGCGGCGATGAAGTACATGCGACAAGTGGGGGCATCGAGTGTTGAGGATGTGCCTTCGGCTGAGCGCATCAACTTCCCGATGGTTTTCTCTCAGATGATCACTGCGATGTCAAAGAACAAGGAATTTGACGGGATGGACGCAGAGCAGCGACGTCTGGAAGTCGCCAGCGAAATGTTGGATCATCTCGCCGCTGGCTTCGACACGTCCGGGATAACGCTCTGCTACGCTGTGCACGAGCTGTCTCAACGACCAGATATTCAAACGGCATTGAGAAAGGAACTTCTTACCCTAGATCCGCGTATATCTCTCGCTCGAAACATAGCCGAAGCAATCGATATACCCTCTGCAAAGAAACTTGACGCACTTCCTTTGCTTGACGCAGTCCTTCAGGAAACACTGCGCCTGCGATCAGCCATACCTGGGCCGGAGCCTCGCATCACGCCTCCAGGTGGGTGCAATCTTGGATCAGAGGGCGAGTATGGGCGGATACCCGGAGGGATTCGCATATCCGCACAGGCACACAGTTTACACCGCAATCCTGAAGTTTTCAGCAAACCAGATTCTTGGATACCATCAAGGTGGCTGGATGCAAGCGAGGAGCAATTGAAAGAGATGAGGCGGTGGTTCTGGGCGTTTGGAAGTGGCGGAAGAATGTGCGTGGGGAGCAACCTAGCCATCTACCGTAAGTAAATCAGGAGAGTTTTTCCGGATGTTATGACCAACTCTTAGACAGAGATGAAGTACATCATTGCTGCCATCTATACAAACTTTACAACAACAATTGTTGATGATGAAGGCATCGAGCAGATGGACATCTACACAGCTCCCCCGGTTGGTGGTAAACTAGTCATTAGGCTCGACCGAATGCAGGACTGAAACTTTCAATCCAGCGTCAGCAACGTGAAAGAAAAGGGTTAAGAAGTGGACAAAATGCTATGGTTTGGAGGCATAATTAGAATCCGTGTGGCCATGCATTTGCCTCTTAGAAGCAGCAGCTTTGCTAAGGGGAGACCCTGCGCCCGGGGGCGGGCAATCTTGAATGAGCCGGGTTCATTGTAGGCTGACTTGGATCATTAAACAAGACTGTAAATCAAAGGGCTCACGGGTCGCACAGTTGCGCAAAGTGAACGGACAGCACTCCTGATCCTCCCAAGACTCTTTCGTCAATGTGACCGAGGCCGTCTCGTCCTTGTTGCGGGTCAAAACATGCACGCCCAATTTCTTGGCCCTCTGCATCATATCGGTGTCATAACCTCGCAGATCGAGACACTCAAGACAAAGTCTGAAGCTCTTTGTTCATGTTCGCCGCGGGAACGCGATGCTCGAACGGATCATAGTTTGCTGTGTACAAGTACGCAGACAATGACGCCTTGGCGTTTCTCAGCGCTAGCGATGTCTCTCCTCCATGGGCAGCCTAAGTTCCGGGGGCTGCCGAGACCCATATGCAATCGCACAAGAATGATACGCCTCAGCAGGAAAACAGGCGATCTGACTGGGCGCGAATCGCTATTTGGCACGGGCGAAGCTGAATGCGAATTTGATCGCACAGTCGTCGCGTGATTTGTGCAGTGGCAGGGTAAGTCCCGGATCCTCGCTGGCAATCTGGCCAAGCAGCCAACCGTGCAGGTACACCTGTACAAGGATAGTTGGACTGTTCAGGTCGAAATTGGGCTACGTGTGTGGAAGACAGTTGTGCCGAATCCGAGCTGAGCGATGGACGAGACGGGTGCATCACAGTCCCGTATTCGCACCACACGCTAGGGCGGGATTGGAGAACATCCGGCGTAGGGCTGATCACTTTTCCATCATCCCGTAAATTACATTGGCTCGGAGTGACCTCAGCGATCGAAAGTCTGGTTCAGGAGCGTGTTCAGCTGGGACTCGAGCTGCTTGGCCGTGATAACTCCCCAGGCTGAACGCCTCGTGCAACCCTATCCTCAGACCCGGCTCCATCTCGAACCTTCGAAGATCCTGAAACATAACTTCCAGTGCTCGCATCTCACACACAACGCAATTGCGGCTCCTTGGCCAGCGGCTCCTCGGCCACTTGCTCCAGTGCAACGATCCTTCGGCGCCGACAGCGGCGGACAAACAAAGACGAGGGGGGACTGTGCCTGCGCGCTACTGCATACGCCCTTGCCCTCGTAGTCCACACCACCAGTCCAAAGGCATTTCGGACGAACGACGAAGCGCGAAAGGACTTGACCGCCCAATTGGCGCGGCGCCTGGAGCCAAAGCCGGTTAAGCAACATATCGACTTCTCAAAAAAACCTATTCGCTCTCTCCATCTCGAATCCGCGGGCTTCCGTCGTCTGCCACATAGCCTGAGTCTGGAATCCAACTCCTCTCGCCTGGCCTAGGTACTGCGCATAGTGTGGAGACCATGATCTCTTTACGTTTGCCGCTACTGCTGCATACCTAGACCGCCCCCGAGCGATTTCGTAGGGAGCAGTTTTATATTTCTGAGACTGAAAGACAAACTAGCGGCTACCGCCATGGACATGTTCTCCATGTTCACGGCGGATGCTGCGGCGAAGCATGGCCACGAATTTTCCAGGACATCGACTGCACCTGCAGCAAGAGTAGGAGGAGGTGGTGGTGCTGTTAGTGCTCATGTTCAGCAGACTCTTGCCCAACGGCGCTTGCCTCTCCCACGCTCACCTCTGTCCGTCCTTCCCAGGGCTAGGTCGCCAAACACGATGCCTCCCCGGCAACGAGCACGGCCGCAGAGCATGAAGGTTACCATGGCGGAATTGAAGGAAGATCCCGAAGAAGAGAAGGCAGACGAGGAGGAACAACTCCGTATGATTGAGGCCAAAATACGATCGTTCACTATACCTGGTGCTTTCCACGACTCACCACCTAGCTCGAGTCCTCTGTCTTCTGAGGATACCACACCGCGACCGGCACCAGCTCACTTGCCTTCGCCGTCACCTTCGCCTTCACCTAGCATACCTGTCGCTACCACGAGGTCAGAGTCGGCCTCGGTCTCCGCGAGCGAAACTACCGACACAAGCCGAGTACGACGCAGTTCCAACAAGCCAAAGGTTTTCTACCGCCTAGGACGCCCCGTCAACGCCGATCGAAAATATTATCTTCGCCCCAAATGCTTGCTCCAAGTTCAAGAACCGGGCCCAAAATTCCACAGACCTGTTTACGACGTCGTTCCCGGCTCCCGTTTCAACCCGCGTACTAAGATCGGACAGAAGCTTCGGAGGTTACGTAGGAATAAAGACGGCACTGGTGCGGACGATCTTGTCGTCGTCAAATCTGAGCACAGCGAGGGAAAGCATGAGAACGAGAACTCTGAAGAGGAAGACGATCACGAGCACGAAACGCTCAACGGCCAGGAAGTGCTGGGCACTATCCAACCTGCAGAAGATGGACCAAGCGCGTACATAACGCTGGGCGAAACAGTCTGGAAAGCTACTTTGGATGGGCGAGGAGCAAGCTATACTCTCGAGAATGCTAGCAATGCGGCCGAACGAGTACGGTGGTACGTGCCCAAGTCGAAAAGAGCAGCGGTCCAGAATGGAGGGGCTCGAGAGTTAAGCTTTGCAACGCTACTACCCGGAAGCAAGAGGCATCCCATTGTTGCAAACATGTCTGAAGGTCATCTCGAGTTTTACGAGGAATTCTGCTCCCCCCTTGCCCCCGAAAAGACAATTCGTACGGACGACGCGCTGCGCAAGTTGATCATCGTTTCCGGCTTGTGGGTGTACTTCTGCGAAGGTTGGTCCAAGCACTACGACTTCAGCTCTGTCGTTGCAACCTCCGCCAAGCCTGTGCCAGCAAGGAGTGTTTCAATGCGATCGACGAATACTGGACTCCGCGGATTGCTCCGATCACCGACGCGATCGCGTTCGAGGTCCCCCGCTCGTTCCATAGGTTGCGACAACCTCTCTGCGAGTTCAGACGCCCGCTCACGGGAAGGTTCCCACGATTCGATGACAACCACCATCTCACCCATAAGCACCATGACGCGACACTGCTTCCCCCCTTCGTCTTCGCAAAATCCATCTCGTGCACCTAGCCCTGAGCCTTCCGCGAGGGGCAGACGGCGATGGTCATGGACGCATCACCTCCGACGAATCAGCCACAATACTCGCACGGCAACGGATCCACCAGAGCAACGGTCACGAGACGACACTGTTGTAACAGCAGGCCTTCTGCATGTTGAGCGCTTGCCCACACCCATCGATACTAAGCAGCATCCTCTCCAACAGGCTTTTGTCCGACCTACACCAAATTCCACAAAAATCAACGTCCACGGAAGCGAAACTCCCGTGCTGAACACCGATCGTTCGGCGGCTGAACCCTTGATCGAAACACGATTCCCTTCTCATCTGGACGGCACAAAGTCATCGGTCGTCACGGAAATTTCAGAGCATCGCTTCGGGCTGGGCAGTCTGGCTCGACCCAAGAATATAGACACGCACAAAGGGACAGAGTCACCGACCAGCAGTGACGAGGACCCAGGCGTTGGATCACCGTGGTGGCAGCAGTACGATCGCATGGTGTTCAAGCAGAATCCTCCTGCCATACCTCAACCCTAGGCTCTCCATTCCGCGCATATCTGTACATAGTCACATGCCACACTGTAAGAAACTCGAATTTAGACACGTTGGTTTTTTTTTGCCGCATGCTGTACTTAGTTATGAAATCTGATGACAGTGGCCGCCATCAATTTGAGTTTATGCAGCAGCGTTGGTTCATATTTCATGAACGCGCTATCCTTGTGAACACGTCCGTTTCAGAGGCCAAGTGTACGGCGTCTGTCAATAGACATCATCAAATGTGCAAAGAACGTGCAAGACATGGCCGTCGCTCGAGCGATCGTCTCCGGATCACGTCAACACGGGCAGCCGGAAACCAAGTCCGGCGGGTGCAAGGCGTGTCGGAACAGCTGGTCGGACGACGAAACGAACCTTCTGAGCTAGCACGCAGCTGGGCGAATACTTTGCAGAGAGGATCGTGTGGGGAATCCGTTCTTCGGACCAGTCAGAGAGGATTTATTTTGGCATTGTAAGTTAGAGCGAAGAGAGCACATGCGTGACCAGAGGGAAAAAAAAAAAAAATCAAGCGCCGACGGCGATGGGCCTAAACCACAAGCGGAATCCCTGTTCCGGCATGCACTTATCTTTCCCCACCGCATCGTCATTTTTCAGACAAATTCTCGTCCTTCCTCGCCGCCCAATCTCTCACCTCCACAGAATCATTCCTCTCCAAGACCGCCTTGCAAAAAGGGTTGTTACAGAACCCACCGCGCCCTTATGCGTGCTGCTCCCAGCGTGTTCACCTCCCAGGTACGTTTCTTCTGTGCTTTTCTTCTGCTTCCACAACTGTTGGGGCGTCAAAGGGAGCCCTCCTTATCAATCACCGCTCCTCACCGCGAGATTGAGCGCGAAGTCGGACTCACGCCGACTTTTCACCCCATCGCTCAAACTGCGCCCTACCATTGTCAACGTGTCCACGAAGATGAATACAGAGCTTTGCTGACCATGGTCTTTTCATGCAGGACTACCTTTCAGGTACGCTCGAACTCTATTGCACTCCGCTCACCGCCCGGGCGTCGTGTCATCGGTATGACTAACGTTACCACAGATCACATTTGGAAGGCTTCAGTAAACTAAAGATCGCCCTTTGAATCACACGGGACGATATATCAAGATGCTTCAGAACGTACTCTTCAGGGCCAATGGCTTGTCCAAGGCCAGCAGGGTTGGCAGCCAGATCCGCTTCATGGCCTCGGTCACGCAGAATGCTACGAGGCAGCCACCTGCCGCGAGGCCACGGGCTACACCCGTCTCGCACGAGCGTGCTACATTCACGATCAAGGTACGTGATCGATCAGATGTCATTCGAACGTGCATTGAGGGCGAAACGCTGATGTGAGTCATAGGATGGCCCGATTCACCATGGCAAGTCCTTCGGAGCCAAGGCCAACGTCTCCGGCGAGGCCGTCTTCACCACTTCGCTGGTCGGCTACCCTGAGTCCATGACGGATCCTTCATACCGTGGCCAAATTTTGGTCTTCACCCAGCCATTGATTGGCAACTACGGAGTGCCCTCGTCAGCGAGGGACGAGCACGGCCTGCTTAGGTACTTTGAGTCGCCCAACATTCAGGCTGCAGGCATTGTGGTGGCAGATGTCGCTGAGAAACACAGCCACTGGACTGCTGTGGAGAGCTTGGGTGAATGGTGTGCGAGGGAGGGTGTTCCTGCCATTAGCGGAGTGGACACGAGGGCTATCGTCACCTATCTGCGAGAGCAAGGTTCTTCGCTTGCTCGCTTGACTATCGGTGAGGAGTACGATGCTGACGAAGACGAGGCCTACGTCGACCCCGAGGCCATTAACCTGGTTAAGCGGGTTTCGACGAAGGCTCCCTTTCACGTGAGCTCCTCGCTTGGTGACTTGCACGTTGCCCTCATCGACTGCGGTGTTAAGGAGAACATCCTCCGCAGCCTGGTCAGTCGTGGTGCGTCAGTGACTTGCTTCCCCTACAACTACCCGATCCACAAGGTCGCGCACCACTTTGACGGCGTCTTCATCTCCAACGGCCCCGGTGACCCGACTCACTGCCAAGAGACAGTCTATCACCTTCGCAAGCTGATGGACTCTTCGCAAGTCCCCATCATGGGTATTTGCATGGGTCACCAACTGCTAGCCCTCGCCGCGGGGGCGAAGACCATCAAGCTCAAGTATGGCAACCGTGCCCATAACATCCCAGCGCTTGACCTCACCACTGGCAAGTGCCACATCACCTCCCAGAATCACGGCTACGCGGTTGACGCCGCAACTCTGCCACCTGACTGGAAGGAGTACTTTGTCAACCTGAACGACTCCAGCAACGAGGGTATGATCCACAAGTCCCGCCCTATCTTCTCTGCACAGTTCCATCCGGAAGCCAAGGGCGGCCCGCTCGATTCCGCATACCTGTTCGACGCGTACATTGACAGCGTGAGCAAGTACAAGCGTGCACAATCGATATTTGCGCCAAACAGGGACAACAAACCCTCGCCGCTGTTGGTCGATCTGCTGAGTAAGGAAAGGGTTGGTGTGCACCCCGGCCTGCCAGACTATCAAGGCCACGCACCTGGGATGCTAGATCCTGCACAGCAGAACGCACCTGCGGCTGCTGCGGCTGCTGCTTGATGGAAACATGATTTGGCAAACACGGAAGACTGCAATGAAGCCTTAGCTGCGTGTGAAGATTTGCCGCTTTTTGATTATTTAGCAGTGTTCATCTTTCGGAGTCGGTAGGAAAAGGACAAAGGTTTAAGCGCAGACCATCAATTTGAACTATTAACAACGCAGTCACTGTGCTTCTGAATCCTTTCGTATACATGAATTGGAATTGGCGTGACAAATGATCTTTCCCTGAAGCGGTGTGATTCTACGCTGAATTGATAGCTCCCTTCGTGCTTCGACGTGTACCCGCGATACGAGCTCTTCTTCACGTAGAGAAACTATTTCCATGAAAGTGTCACGTGCTACTGCCGCTCTTTTGAAGACGATCAATGGACAGCTTGTAGTGATCACAGATCTTCTGTCCAGGGTGGACAAAGACTGCCGTGTGCTCACCCGTGTCCGTTCTCAGGAGAAGCCACAATTCAAACTCGATGTGACTGCCACAACAAGGAGTCATCGCGAGCGCTGATGAAGGGGGGGGAGTAGAGTGAGGGCACGCTGAAAAAGTTGACCGCTGATCTACAGCGCGTTGGTTCTCCTTTCCTCTTTCCCCTTCTTTTCTTTTCCAACGCGGAACTTCTCCCAGGCGGCTCACTTTCGCGGTCCTGGGAAAAAGGCCGCATGGGAAAAAAAAAAAAAATTCCAGGCCAGATCCCACGATCGGCTTTCCATCAAACAAGCGCGAGCAAAAGGAGCTTCATTGCGGCGCGGAGCGAGGTGCCTGGAGAAAGGGGTTCTATGCGACGGCACGTTGTGAAAAGACAGAGGCCCCTTCCGCGGACTGCTCGTACAATGAAAAGAAAGACGAGGGACGGGTGGTGTAGACATCATGTGCCACACGTGCGTGATCTCAAAAAAAAAAAAAAAAAAAAAAAAAAAAAAAAAAAAACGGCCTAGAGGAATAGAAAGAGTGACTTGGAAATCACAAGAGGCTTTGCGGCTTTGAGCGTCGCCCGGGTCCAACATGGCACCAAAGGCTGTACTTGCAGTGAAGACGGCACAGCGAGCCGTGTGAGACTGCGCCGTACGACCGACCGGGAAAGCGCTGCTCGAATTCCACGGGCCAAAACGTTGTTGGGAAAAGAGGCGGGCCTGATGAGCAGCCCCAGCGGGAATGCTGGCGGTGGTGGTTGAAATGGGAGGAGGAGGAGGGTTCAGACGAAGCACGATCAGCCATGCTCATTCGACTGCTAGGCGAGACGAGCAGTGGAGTGCCAAGAGGCAGGCTGTGTCGGGATGTCAAACACAGCCGAAAGACGACCTTTGTGCGCTTGTTTCGAGCCCGGGTCGGTCGATCTGGACGCGTGCAGCAAAGGCGCGCATGCCGAAGGCACAGGAGCGCACGCAGTCCACCAAGGGCAGGGCTGGAGAACGCCCGTCGAAAGGGTGGAGGCGGTAACCCGGCGGACAAGAAAGGGCTGTCGTCGGCGTCGAGAGTCGCGCTAAGCACCAACCAAGACGACAGATCGAAATCTTGTTGGATCCAAGCGCCCCGTGGCTTGGATGCTGGGCATGTCCTCGAACAGCGGGGTGCACGTCGCGCTCAGCAAGCAAATGGCGAGGGAAGTGTCGAGGAGGAGTACGTACTGGCACCGTAAGAGCGTAAGGGCTTAGCAGGAACGTTAGCGGATCGACGCGTGCGCCTCAGCCTCCTTGGGCCCCCTGGCGACACAGACGCCAGCGTCGTCTCCCTCCTCCTCCTCCTCCTCCTCCTCCTCGTCCTCCTCCACTCCCCAAATCAAAGGAGCGCCACAACAGCTCGCCGTTCTCTCCATCGCGGTCGCTGTCGCTGTTTTCATTCTTTTACCTTTCGCTCTGTCCGATTATCCACGGCGACGGGCTGCGCGCATTTTCCGTCTCCTCTTGTCCTTCCCACACCGCGTCCCGTCCTGTGGCCGCCGCCGTTTGCCCGCTCCAACTCGAGCGCCAATTGCAGCTTGCTGCGGCTGAGCCTGGCGCTCTGCACCATATAGCAACTGCCAGCCTGCCGTTCTGAAACGAAGCCCGATCTCCCAAAGAGTCGCGAGCTACGGTGTTTAGCTTCATGTGCGCTGCGTCGTGCTGTCTCGCCATCTGTTGAATAGAGCCGGCCACCTTTCTCTTTTGTCGTCACGGCCGCCGTTCCACCACGACACGCATCTCGAAACCCAACGGCGGATCTTTTTCCAACGACTGTGCGCAGAAGCGCTTGGCCTTCAACGTCGCACCGCCAATATGGTCGTTTGTAATACTTCTCTCGTCACCATCGGTGATGAAATGGGTACGTCTTCTGCACACACACACACACACGCACACGTCCGATTTGTGCATGCTTTGCGCACCGTTCTGATCCACCCGCAGTAAAGGAAGAAGAGCCGCTGTTCGGCAAAATCACCTTCCACCACGTCGGCCTCAGCGTGACCGCCGTGTTCTCCCTCGTTGCTACTGTAATAGCACTCGGCCTCATGTTCATGCACGCAACCCACTACTCGGTCCCGCACCAACAGAAGCACATCATTCGCATCCTCTTCATGATACCCATTTATGCCTGCATATCCTTTGTCTCGTACGTTTACTACAAGCACGCAATTTACTGGGAGGTTCTAAGGGACTGTTACGAGGCGTTCGCCATAGCCAGTTTTTTCACCCTGCTGTGCCACTATCTGGAGAAGGACCTGCACGATCAGAAGGAGTACTTCCGCCGCTTTGGAGCCGCGGGCAGGCCGTTGAGGAACTGGATCTTGCCCGTCTCGTGGCTTCAAAAGTGCACGGGTGGAGCGGAAAAGGGCATTTTTAGAGTGCCGAGAAGTGGTTTGACGTGGTTCAATGTGAGTTTGACCCCATGAGCGTGACACAACGGCGGCTTCGCGGGCTTCGAACACTTCGTCCTGGCTTCCAAATCTCGCTCGCGCGTTCAACGCCTGAGTGCGACCGTCAGATTCGTTGCGCTGCGAACTGGGGTGCTAATGCAACCGATAGGTGATCTACGTCAGCGTCTTCCAATACTGCTTCATCCGCGTCGTCTTCAGCTTCGTTGCCATGATCACGCAGCTCTTCAAGCGTTATTGCGAATCTTCACTCAGCCCGGCCTTTGGCCACGTCTGGGTCATGACATTCGAGGCCTTGTCAGTCACGATAGCCATGTACTGTCTCATTCAATTTTATTTGCAACTCAAGGACGATCTGGCCGAGTACAGGCCGTTCCTGAAGATCTTGTGTATCAAGCTAGTCATCTTCTTTAGCTTTTGGCAGTCTGTACGTATCAGCTTCTCTTCTTCATGGCCGTATCCGGCTCACTTTGCTTTACAGATCTTGATCTCCATGCTTTCTTCCTCCGTGATCCCCGGTGGCGCGATACTTAAGCCTACGAAGAAAGTCGCATACCCCGATATTCAAGTCGGCATCCCGTCCATGCTCCTCGCGATTGAGATGAGTATTTTCGCCGTCCTTCACATATTCGCCTTCTCGTGGAAGCCGTACGACATTACTAAAAATCCAGACCCAGCCATACACTACCAAGGCGGATTCCTGGGTTCGAAAGCGCTGTGGGACGCGTTCAATGTGTGGGACATTGTCAAGGCGGCAGCAAGGGGTTTCAAATGGCTGTTTTATGGATCGCGGTATAGAGAGCAGGACATCTCGTACGAAACCAGTCGGCAGGGCAGCATGCGGCATCCTGGGGGTAAGTTTGGTAGCGTGGACACGGCGTACAGTGGCGCGCCACCCTCGTACGACCTGGTGGAAGAGCAAGAGATGGGCACAATGCGTGCCGGTTCAAGGGGGAGACCTGGTCCGCCCATGAGAACCATGAGCGACGAACATGGCGACAAAGAGGGATTATTGAGCCACGCTCAAGGCAATCCACAGGCCGCACCGCCAGTGGACGTTCCGAGAATAAACGTGAGGGAACCCAGTCCGTACAGCAATCAGTACGGCGCCGCACTAAGCAGAGAGACGAGCACCGGGTACGGAACGCCAAGCAGCGAGTTGAGAGACCCATTCGACCCCAGAGATTCCTTCGACGAGCGAAATAGGATATGAGGGGGGGGGGAAAAACCCTGCTTCTTTATTTGGTTCTTGTATTTTTTTTTTTTTTTGGCATGCAAATGGCGTTTATGAAGCTATGACAGAACGCGCAACGCAGGGTGCGTCATCTTCTCGATCGCGGGCGTTTTCGATGACCTTGGGCACGGGTTTGAATGGCGGCATGTATCTGGCTGTAATAACTACACGCTTCTCTTTTTCGTCCGATTTGAATCGTTCCTTCTTTTCCGTCTTTGGATTCATCGCCTTTGCGCAGGCTCTACCCCCTACGCTCTTCCTTCCATCTTCGAGAAGGGAAAGGGGTAAATGGAATACTCTCTTCTTCTAGATCACCGCACACATATACATTGTCTGCCGCAAGACCGCCTTGATGTTGGCTTTTTGTTTACTTTAACTGCCGAGTTTACTTTCTGTGCGATCTCAGCTACACGTAGAATCTCCAGCTAGGGCTTCTAAAGCATACCATCTACAAAGAGCAGCATGCTTAATGGCAAAGGGTTCATTGCGTCTTCCGCAGAATAACGAGAAGAAGCGAAGCTTGCAACCACCTTATCATAAGGCACTAGAGTTTTTGATTGGAGAGTGACTATCTACGTAAGGCATTCCTTTTTTTTTAAAAAAAAAAAATCTGTTAAGCTTTATAGATTGCCCGCTTGCGTAAGGATAACTTGCGATAATACTTGATGCAATTTATCTTTGCCAGTGCTGTGACGGGTGTGATATTGCCTTGTGGTGTTATCCATATATCATTTTAATATAGTTGCTGGATCGCTTCCACCATATCAAGGTACCTACTTAGAAAAAAATCAGCATTCCTATGTTTAGAGGTTGAGTTTCCCCCGTATTATTTATTCTGTTGGAACCGGGCCCTTTAAATCGTCGAGAGGTGAAAAAAAAAAAAAAAAAAAAAAGATGGTGGAAAAAGGGGTCTCAGTCCAAGCTCGAGGACAT